CAATAATTATCCTAATTATATTTTAGATTTTTTATATTTAAAATATGATGTTTATCTTGTAGTTGATTATGTTTATCTGCAGTTAGTTACACGAATTCATATATGGAGCTTCAATAAGTTGTACTTACGCACAATCTACTTGCAATTTTGAGTTTTAAGTAATATGCATTAATAAACAATACTTTACGCATAAAAAGTGGTTTTTAAGAGTTTTTGTCAAATATTTATAATATAGTATAGATATAGATAACATTATATTGGTAGAAATCTCATTTTAGAGATATATATTATAGCTTTTTTAGTTCAAATCTCATAGCTTCATACCGTTTAAACCGGTCAGACCAGACCTCCTTTTTGTAGTTTCGTTTGATCGGTTTGGTCATTTGCTTCCAAACCGCTTGGGCTTCTCTATATAGTTAGGGTTGGAGTGATCAATTGGGCTTAACGTCGTCATTTGGGCTTCTCTATATAGTCAGAGTTGGAGTGATCAATTGGGCTTAACGTCGTTCATTTGGGCTTCTCTAATTAGGGTTGGGCTTAACATGCTTTTCATTTCTCAAAAACTAAAAATAATAAATTTAATAGTAAAATCGATTATAATCATATATGTTTTTGTACGGACATATTTGCAACTACAAACAAGTGGTAATTATAAAATTTAATATTATTAGAATCTAAACTGATTCAAATTTAAACTAAAAGATAGCATGTGAGAGATATGAAGCTCTGTGCGATGATGTCATAACGGGGATCTAAAAATATTTTACGACCTCAGTCATGATATAACTTTGCTTATCGTTCAACCTATTAACTAATAGTTTAATAATTAAGTGAAAAACAAACACTCCAATATGGTTAAGCGCGTAAGATGTTCATACCATTAAACTCGTCAGACGAATAAAACGTTCAAACAAAGCATCCCACTGGGTTATTCCCGGTACATGTGTTTGTCTCCTTTTCGAGTTATATAAAACCGAACAAACTCTAATTATTTTGATAAATAAATGTAGCTTATACAAAATTAATTGCGTATCCAAAATTCCAATACGAAACCTTGGACCTAACCCTTGGTTTAAATTGGAATAATGAAATACTTGTAGAATATTTTTTTTTTAAAGATTTATTTAAATAACAGGCCTACGTCATCGTATCTTAATTAAGATAAAATAAATTGAATCAAGATTGGATCTCAACTACTTAATTAAATCATGTATCGTCTGGACCACCACCACATGTCTAAAAGACACGTCACTCACCCCTCCCGATAATGTTCCCGATTTAACTTTATATATGTTAGCGTGAATTACATGTTTGGTCCTTATAGTTTACATTTCTTCTTGCATCAGATCTAAAAATCAAAATGAATATACACTTTAACTAATTTTATAAGATCATGAATATAACAGTAAGAAAAATATCAATGATTTTGAAAAGATCCAAAACAATTGCAGTTGTGGAAATGGACCGAAATAGCCAATTTTCACAGTTAAATCTACTTTTTAGCCACATTTTCAATCAAATTCTCATTTTAATAGAGTTTATGTAAATGCCTTATGCATTTGCATAAACTCGATTTTCAAATTAAAAAGAAAATTAAATAAATTTGTGTAACGATATACATTTATGTACATAAATATCCTCATGCATTTGGATCTCTCGTGGATCACCCCCGGGGGTAGATCTACACAAATTGAGGAGCATAGTGTTTGTACCCTGAAGGGGGTGCATGTAAGACCCACCAAATTAATTTTTTAATATATTTTTCGTATTTTTTCGGTCAAACGTCAACCCTCACCCCCGGGGATGATCCATGTGGCCATTTTGGTGAAATGTGGTTAATACTTTAATATCTCGGTATATTTAAATTATTTTGGTGATTTTACTTTTTATTAAATGATATTAAAGTAAATTTTGATTAAAATAATAATTGAGTTACAAAAGTAAATAAAATATGAAATGGAGATTGGCTAATTTAGTCCCGTACAAAATACTACCCTTGAACAACCAATGAAATGGAAGCACGTAGCCGAGAGATCACGTGAAAAGCTGTGTGGTGGCATATGGAAGCATCAGAAGATCTGCAGAAAGTTATATGATGACGTGGGACTGTGACCCATTCCATTTGCTGTACACGTTGGTCTTCCAGATCATTCACTTTATTTTTGATTTTTTTTCTTTATAAAAAATATTTTCAACTTAATACAAACTTTAATAGGAATATTTTATTAGTAATAAGTAATATTTAATAAAATATAAAATATTAATGAAAGATATGGTGTTATGGGTAACACGTAGATAAAAAGCATGCTGAATGGGCAATGGACAATAGACGGCTACGATTGCTTTTTGGTGATGGTGCCCTTTTCAAACAATGAAGCGTCACGCCATATCTATATGGATGCCTCAAATAATTATCCAATTAATTTTTTAAATAAATTAATTTAAATAATTTCCCTAAATATTGAAAAATGAAAGTTTTAATAATAAATAATTTAATTCCAAAAGTTGGACGTCTTTTATAAAGGGCTTAAGTCGACTCCACGGTGTAAAGGTATGTTTGGTTCCACCCTATGCAAGCTTTATGAGTAGAAGGGTGAATGTCACATTCTTCAAGTTTTTTTTATTCATATTTTATCCAATAATGCTTGTTCTTATCTGATTTTATGAATTGATTTGATTAATTGAAACAAATAAACGACAAAAATCTTGGTATGTTTTCCTTTTCTTACGGTCCATGTAGTTTTGAAGTCGTTCATAATATATCGTTATTGTTAGTATAAGAGACGTTAACGTAAGACTTGAGAACGACATGGGATTAAGAATCTGAAAAGAATGAAGCAAAACAAAATGGATATTGGTATTTTTAAGAGGATTAAAATACCATGAAAACCAGTTATGATATGCAACTTTTTGTTGATCGTTATTATATTACTTAGAATTTATTATATAATGCACAAATATTTTATTCAAAATCAAAATCCTTTAAAAGGCATGGTTTAATCAACAACATGCTTGATTAGGGGGATTAAAAATGGCAAGTAAATATGGTGTTTTCATGCTT